CTCTGCACTGAAGTCTGAGCTGCAATCACAATTCCTCATGCATGCCTTTTCTGGCTATCCATCTAAGGCAGAGGCAAGTCTCACTTATTTTCTCTCCTAAACCACCCAGTTCTATGCCTTCATAGCGCCCCCCCAGTGTCTTGTTATTACGTATTTACTCTCATGTGTTTCTCTCTCTGGATTTTAGTATGACAAAAACACTAATTTTTTTCTCTGTTCACAGCTTGAGACCTGCAGGGCTCAGAAAGCAGTGTGCTTTCTCATATGACCAGAGGAAGAATACAATCTCTATAAGCTGATCCCAGGAGATATAACCAGTGTATGCCATGTACACTCCTTAAATTCAGCTGTCCAGTTATCTAGGCCTCCTTCTTATAGGTTTGTGGTATAGCCATGACTCTTACCAGTAGTAAGATGACTACGCAAGCAGTTCATACGAAGTGATCAAGTGTTTAGGGAGTGGGTTGCTGGCTCTTCACTCAGGGAAGAATATTCCCCCAAGTTATTCTTCCCTAGTCAGAATAACTCACTAATCCATTTAAAACAGAAAACTGAAAGCCAGTCATTCATTTGCCTCTTCAAAGACATCATTGGCTCCTAAAATCATACCACTTCCTGCAGTCAAGTTACATCAGCCAGTTTTATCCAGTCTGGGAAACAGTGTGGTGACTAAAGAAAGAAGTGGGATTCCAAAGTAGTTTTAACTTGAATGGCCCAAGAATGAAGATGAAGACAATTTCAAAACCCTTTTACCAAGATTCCCCCAATGGAGAGTAAACTAGAGGGGCACCTGGGATCATCTGTTTCATTCACCACTCATAGTCATCCTCAGTACACAGTATATAACCTAGCACATAGTAGGTGCTCAATAAACATTTATTGAATGACTGATTAATTAAAGGTTCTTCACCCCCCTACACTCCAGCTTCTCCTTCAGATTTCAACTTTATATAATTTCATCAGGAATATATTCCCTTATCCTTCAGTCTGGTTCAGGATCTCCTATGAGCTGTTCTTCAAAACACTTGTCACAATAATAATTAATACTTGTGTGTTTTAATGTCTGTCTTCCCCACAAGACTCTGCCTGTCTCTGGCATCTAAACTAATCATGCAGTAACTCAACTAAAATTCACTGAATGTTTTAATAACTATATTTCTTTGTTACAAATAAATGTCATTAGAAGTTTCTGAGCTTCTCTGTCAGAACAAAGTAAACTTTAAATCCCAAAATTGAAGAAAGTAAGAGGTAAGAGAACTTTCAAGTCTCTATTAACACTGATGATAATGAATCTCCAGGGAAACACAGCTCCATCCTGCAAAAGAAGCATGTGAACCTCTGGATTGATTAAGTTTGAGCTTGTAACTGCTGTATTTCTGAGTTTCCATGGAAACCAAACAGAACCCCAAGAAGTCAAAGCCTGATGTCAGTTCCACAGAGACAAGAACTCTGCCATGATTAATTTACCCCAGAATCCTCTATGGACACTATGCTCCTAGAAGGACCAGAAACCTCTTAAGCCCAAATGAAGATGAGTCATACGAGTCTACATCAATTGATGTCTGTTTCTGCCTTAGTATAGGAAGGATGGAAGAACAATTAATTAGGAAGTGTTCTGGCCATGACATGTGAGGAACACTAGGGGCTTCCTGAGGAACTGGTGATATTCTTGGGACTATCTCGGGATAGTTCGTTTCTGAGGATATCTGAGCATACACTGATGGCAAGAGAGTCAGAGAACATTTAAGAGAAACTGGTTGCTGGAAAATATGGATATTTGTGGACATTTGCATGTACTGTCTACAAGAAAACAGGACCTGCTTGCTCCATGATCTGCAGACCATGTTACAGCTCTGGGGCATCCTTCACTTCGCATCTCTGGTGAGCCCCCAAGAAGCGTACTCCTCAGGCAACCCTGCAGAGTCAGGAGTTTCCTGTGAAAATCAGGAGTCTCCCCTCATCAGAACTGCCTTGGAGACAACTAAGCACCTCACCTAGTAACTACTGAGGTAATCTTTCATTGGTGCAATATTTGGGGTGGGGGAAGGGGAAGCTGATTTCCTCTGGATGCTCTGGCTGGAAGCCTGCCATGTTTTCAGGTGTCCACTGGTGGGCTGTGGCATAGTTCACTTTTTTGATTTTTTGCATTATTCTCAGTATCCTGACTCAGGAATAGCTGATGGCTCACAGAATCATTAAGACCTTTTTTTCACTGTTTTCATGGACAGCTATTTATTCCCCCTTTGTCTCTCTCAAACTCTTCTACCCAACTCTTAGTCCAAATGGGCTCACTGTGCTGGTTTATTTTATGACTTTGAATTTAGGTTATTTTATAAGCTTTAATAAAAGTAATAAAGAAACAAGAAAAATCACCCACCATCCTCCCATCTTATTGTGGCAACTGTGCTCATTTTTCTGTGTTCTCATCCAATTCTTCTCCATATAGATACATATTTTACACAGCTACAATGTACCATGTTACCATTTCTCTGAGTCAGGCTTATCACCTTAGTTCCTGCTCTTGTCTCAGAATCAGCTCTTCTCCACAGAGGCTTGCCTTTACCTGTCATTTCTATAAAGGACAATCGATGGCAAGAAAGCCTAACTCTTTAACCAGATCTCTAAAGACAGTGCTACTCTCCGACATAAATCACAGCAAGTTCCTCTATGACCCATCTCCCAGAATATTGGAAATAAAAGCAAAAATAAACAAATGGGACCTAATGAAATTTAAAAGCTTTTGCACAACAAAGGAAACTATAAGCAAGGTGAAAAGACAGCCCTCAGAATGGCAGAAAATAATAGCAAATGAAGAAACAGACAAAGGATTAATCTCAAAAATATACAAGCAACTCCTGCAGCTCAATTCCAGAAAAATAAATGACCCAATCAAAAAATGGGCCAAAGATCTAAACAGACATTTCTCCAAAGAAGACATACAGATGGCTAACAAACACATGAAAAGATGCTCAACATCACTCATTCTCAGAGAAATGCAAATCAAAACCTCAATGAGGTACCATTACACGCCAGTCAGGATGGTTGCTATCCAAAAGTCTACAAGCAATAAATGCTGGAGAGGGTGTGGAGAAAAGGGAACCCTCTTACACTGTTGGTGGGAATGCAAACTAGTACAGCCGCTATGGAAAACAGTGTGGAGATTTCTTTAAAAACTGGAAATAGAACTGCCATATGACCCAGCAATCCCACTCCTGGGCATACACACCGAGGAAACCAGATCTGAAAGAGACACGTGCACCCCAATGTTCATCACAGCACTGTTTATAATAGCCAGGACAGGGAAGCACCCTAGATGCCCATCAGCAGACGAATGGATAAGGAAGCTGTGGTACATATACACCATGGAATATTACTCAGCCGTTAAAAAGAATACATTTGAATCAGTTCTGAGATGGATAAAACTGGAGCCCATTATACAGAGCGATGTAAGCCAGAAAGATAAACACCAATACAGTATACTAACACATATATATGGAATTTAGAAAGATGGTAACGATAACCCTATATGCAAGACAGATAAAGAGACACAGATGTATAGAACAGACTTTTGGACTCTATGGGAGAAGGCGAGGGTGGCATGATCGGAGAGAACAGCATCGAAACATGTATATTATCACGTGTGAAACAGATCACCAGTCCAGGTTGGATGCATGAGACAAGTGCTCGGGGCTGGTGCACTGGGATGACCCAGAGGGATGGGATGGGGAGGGAGGTGGGAGGGGGGTTCAGGATGGGGAACACATGTAAATCCCTGGCTGATTCATGGCAATGTATGGCAAAAACCACTACAATATTATAAAGTAATTAGCCTCCAACTAATAAAAATAAATGGAAAAAATAAATAAAGACAGTGTTAAACAATGCAAAAATTAGAAATAAAAATCCTTAAAATGAAGAAATATTCTCTAAAACTGAAATTGAACCAATGAAGAATTCTGAAAATCAGCATTTATCATTATTATTTAGAATTATTATTACTTAGGAATTTATCCCAAAGTAATAACCTCAATGACATCTAGTCTACAAATGCATGTTCCCCCCACCATGTAATAATTTCATAGTACATGGATCTCTCAAAAAATATCAACCAAATAATATATTAACAAAAATTTGTAATAACATATAACAAAAAAATGTTATAATAATATGTGTGAAGGAAAAAAGTGCAACATACATTATCTATGAGCTTGGCTATATAAAGCAATAAACACTGAATAAGAATAGAAAAAAATAAAAAAGAAATTAATCAAAATATTAATAATAGTTGTCTCTGTGGGGCAACAAACAATTCTTTCTATTTCATTTATTTGTATTTCCTAAACTTTCCATAAGCAGCTGATACTACATCTCTATTTTAGCCACAAAGGGAAAAATAAAAATAGCTAACATTATGTGACTGCTTGCTCTATGGCTAACTTTGTGCTAGGTGTTGGATATACATTATTCACTTAAGTTCTGAGAGAACGTTTTACATATGTATTGTTATTGTTCCCTTTGAAGAAACAGAGTTTTGATGAGATTAGAGAACTGATCCCAGACAAGTTAGTAAATGATGGAGCTCAGGTGCAACCACAGTTTCTCTAACACAAATGCCTCTGCAACAAGTTCTAGAGTACATATTCCATTAGTGCTTTCAATAAATGGCCATGATCCACAGGATGCAGAATTTGCAGAGGAAAATATTTTAATGTATTGAGAGCCTTTACAATATTTGGACAAAAATGGGAAAATATGTCATCTGATCTAAAAAAATAAGAAGGGACTTAATATAGTTTCCTTACAAACAAACAAAAAAAGTGGAAAAGAAATGGCAAAGGCAAAATTTTTCCCAAAAACTACCAGATAAATGGGTCAAAATATGTGACTTAATGCTAACTCAATGAAGGGTCTGGACAACCAGCCTGAGAAAGGAGAAAAGGGGACCTGTAGGTCAAAGAAATAAAGGATTCCTTCAGCTCAAAATCCCTCTTTCCTTTCAGATCCGAGTGTCCTCAGATCCCCAGAACATCACGACTCCTGAAGCCGCACACCCCTGATTGGGCATTCCCAGCAGAGGCCAGAGGAGCCACGGGGAACCACACCACTGTCACCGAGTTCGTCCTGCTGGGGCTCTCAGATGCCTGTGAGCTGCAGACGCTCCTCCTCCTGGGGCTCCTCCTGACCTACCTGCTCACTCTACTGGGGAACCTCCTCATCGTGGTCCTCACCCTCATGGACAGGCGCCTCCACACCCCCATGTACTACTTCCTCCGCAACTTTGCTGTCCTGGAGGTCTGGTTCACCTCGGTCATCTTCCCCAAGATGCTGACCAACATCCTGACTGGAGACAAAACAATTTCCCTGGCAGGCTGTTTTCTACAAAGTTTTCTCTATTTCTTCCTGGGCACCACAGAGTTCTTCCTACTGGCAGTGATGTCCTTTGACAGGTATGTGGCCATATGTAATCCCTTGCATTATGTCACCATCATGAGCAAAAGAGTCTGTGTCCAGCTAGTTCTTTCTTCTTGGGTCACAGGATTCTTTATCATCATTGTTCCAACTTTCTTCACAATTCAGCAGCCGTTCTGTGGTCCCAATATCATCGATCATTTCTTCTGTGACAACTTTCCACTCCTGGAACTCATATGTGCAGACACAAGTCTGATCGAGCTTCTGGGATTTATCCTGGCCAACGTCAGCCTACTGGGCACTCTGTCCATGACGGCCACCTGCTATGGCCACATCCTCAATACCATCCTTCACATCCCCTCAGCCAAGGAGAGGTGGAAAGCCTTCTCAACCTGCTCCTCCCACATCATTGTCGGCTCTCTCTTCTATGGCAGCTGCATCTTCATGTATGTCCGGTCGGGCAAGGGCGGCCAGGGGGAGGACAGGAACAAGGTGGTGGCCTTGCTCAACACCGTGGTGACCCCAGTGCTCAATCCCTTCATCTACACCCTGAGGAACAAACAGGTGAAGCAGGTGTTTAACAAGCAAATTAGCAAGCTCCTCTCATAAATAGGAGCTGGATCTGAGAGGGTGGAGAAAGTTGGCTCCTTTCCTGAACCTCTCCAAATACTGCTGCTTCCCGATTTCCATGAACTATTTCCTCTCAGACAGTTTCTTAGCAAATGCTATAATCTACAGTGGTTTCTTACATTTATCATTACTGGCTCATGCAATCTTGTCAGAGAGTATAAAAAACTCAGTGTACCACAACTGTGTCTGGTATGTCTTTCTGATCCTAGAATGGATCTGAGTGTTTTTTGGGTTTTTTGTTGTCAGGTTTTTGTTTTGGTTTTGGTTGCACTAGGTCTTTGTTCCTGCACACGGGCTTTCTCTAGTTGCACCGAGCAGGGGCTACTCTAGCTGTGGTGGTCAGACTTCTCATTATGGTGGCTTCCCTTATTGCAGAGCTCTAAGGTGTCTGGGCGGAAAAGGCAATGGCACCCCACTCCAGTTCTCTTGCCTGGAAAACCCCATAGATGGAGGAGCCTGGTAGGCTGCAGTCCATGGGGTCTCGAAGAGTCAGACAGGACTGAGCGACTTCACTTTCGCTTTTCACTTTCATGCATTGGAGAAGGAAATGGCAACCCACTCCAGTGGAAACCCTGGGACGGCGGAGCCTGGTGGGCTGCCGTCTATGGGGTCGCACAGAGGCGGACACGACTGAAGCGACTTAGCAGCAGCAGCAGCAGCAAGGTTTCTGGGCTCAGTAGTTAAAGTTCACAGGCTTAGTTGCCTGGTGGCATGTGAAATCTTCCCAGACCAGGGATAGAATCCATATTTCCTGCATTGGCAGGCAGATTCTTAACCACTGGACTACAAGGGAAGTCCCGTTGTCATTTTTGTTTGTGTGTTTTGTTTTGTTTGCCACATGGCTTGTGGAATCTTACCTAGCTCCTTGGATTGAACGCGGGCCCTCAGCAGTGAAAGCGCAGAGTCCTTAACTGGACCGCCCTTATTTTCTTAATCTGGCCTCATTTTAAATTATAATTTAACATACCTTCTTCACTAAAACCTTTAAAAACCAATGAAAATATTCTCAATGAGAATATATTTATGATAGACTTCAGAATTATTATGTGTCCAGAAAAATTAATGAGGTGGAATAACCAACAAATATTGAACAAAAAAAGTGTCAGGTATTAAAACACTAACTTAAGAACAAACAAATAGAACAGGGGAATTGGATAGTCTAGAAAAATGATGCAGATTAGACATAAGGATCTAATAGATGATTAGGGTAGACTTTCTAGGAAATTCCCTGGTGGTCCACTGGTTAGGACTCCAAGCTTCCATTGCAGGAGGCATGGATTTGATCCCTGGGTAGGAAAGAAAACTAAAATCCAGCAAGCCACATGGTGAGGCCAAGAAAATAAAAACAATAAAACAAAGTAGACTTTCTAATCTGTAAAGAAGAGACAGTCCAGTGGATAAATAATGCCAAGACTATTGGCTAACCACAATAGAAGACTGTTGTCTTTAAAAAAAGATTGGGGTCTAGTACATTATTGGGAAAAGGTTAGAGCAGATCAATTTAAAAGTGATACATGGCTTAAATATTTATTTGAAATTAAAAGCTAGAAACATTTATTCACTAACCTATAAATATTCTTTTCTTTGAGTATCAATATGATGATTGTTGTAGTCTTTCTTGCTTAAATCGCATTTGCAATATGAAATTTCAGGATTTGCTTCAGTGGTACAAAAATTGTAAAGATGCCAGAGAAACCATCTATGAACAGAATTCTAGAATTTTCGCATTTTGTCTGTTGCCAGTCTTCACAGTCCTTGCCCACACCTCAATCAATGATTTTTTCTTTTTTTTTTAATTTATTTTTCCCACTGAATTTTATTATATTTTTCCCAATTATTCTTATTAGTTGGAGGCTAATTACTTTATAATATTGTAGTGATTTTTGCCATACATTGCCATGAACCAGCCAGGGATTTACATGTGTTCCCCATCCTGAACCCCCCTCCCACCTCCCTCCCCATCCCATCCCTCTGGGTCATCCCAGTGCACCAGCCCCGAGCACTTGTCTCATGCATCCAACCTGGACTGGTGATCTGTTTCACACGTGATAATATACATGTTTCGATGCTGTTCTCTCAGATCATGCCACCCTCGCCTTCTCCCATAGAGTCCAAAAGTCTGTTCTATACATCTGTGTCTCTTTTTCTGTCTTGCATATGGGGTTATCGTTACCATCATTCTATGGAATCTACTGCAAGGACTCAATTTTGTTTTCACTAATAGCTTTATTTTTATACTCATATTTCATTGGTTTACCTTTATGTAGTTAAAAATGTCACTATAGTAACAAATCAAATTTTCAAATCAAGGTTTGGAAACAACTGATACTTGGTACAAGCTAACTGGTGGGAACAAAAATATGCATGGGTACAGCAGACACGTTCTAGCTGCAAAGGCATGCTGTGAACATCAATAACTTGGGGAGGTAATATAGCACAGAGGCTGAGAACAGCTACTAGAAGTCTACCACCTAGGTTTAGATTCCCAGCTATTAGCCATTTGAGCTTAAATAAGCAAGACTTCTTGTATCATATATATTGAAGGCAGAAGGAGGAGAGAGCAACAGAGGATGAGATGGTTGAATGCCATCACGAGTTCAATGGACATGAACTTGGGCAAGCTCTGGGAGATGGTGGGGGATAGGGAGGCCTGGCAAGCTGCAGTCCATGCAGTCACGAAGAGTCAGACACAATTTGGCAACTGAACAACAATATATACATATATATATTGTATATATATATAACATACATATGTAATATATGAGGTAGATAATAATATATCTACCTCATAGAATCCTTATAAATATTATTAATATATGTCAGAATGTTTAGCTCAGGGCCTGATAAAGTTAAGTGCTATGTTAAATGTTGGGTACTATATTTTACTGAAGGAATAAGCTGCATAAATGAAGATAAATGAAGAGATTACCTAGAACCCTGGAGAAAAAGTTGTTAGATTCTCACCTCATATCTTAAACTGAAATAAATTCAGGATAATTAAGTAAATAGATATAAACCATGAAAAAGAAAATTTGGATAAGAATTATCTCATTAAAGATACATAGGGGACTTCCCTGGTGGGCCAGTGGTTAAGATACTGTCTGCCAATGCAGGGAACATGGGTTTGATCTGTGGCCTGGTAAGATCCCACATGCCATAGGGCAACTAGACCCTGCACACTACAACTACTGAGCCCAAGCGCCCTACAGCCTGTGCTTAGCACTAAGAGAAGACACCACAATGAGAAGCCTGGGCACAGCAACAAAGAGACTAGCCTCTGCTCACCTAAACCAGAGAAAGCCTGCACACAGCAACAAAGACCGAGCACAGCCAAAAATTTAAAAACAGAGTGCATACCGAAACTAAAGATCCTGCAAGTTGCAATGAAGATGAAAGATCCCGAGTGCCACAGCTAAGACCCAGCATGCCAAATAAATACATATATTTTTTTAAAAAAAGATGTGTAGGGAGTTTTTTCAATATAACTATAAACATAAATTTATTAACTTGGCTATATAAATTTTTAGACTTCTTCACATTAGAGGAAAAAAAAACAGTAGTCATGTATGGATGTGAGAGTTGGACTATAAAGGAAGCTGAGCGCAGAAGAATTGATGCTTTTGAACTGTGGTGTTGGAGAAGACTCTTGAGATATCCCTTGGACAGCAAGGAGGTCCAACCAGTCCATCCTAAAGGAAATCAATCCTGAATATTCACTGGAAGGACTGATGCTGAAGCTGAAACTCCAACACTTTAGCCACCTGATGCGAAGAACTGACTCATTGGAAAAGACCCTAATGCTGGAAAGATTGAAGGCAGGAAGAGAAGGGGCTGACAGAGGATGAGATGGTTGGATGGTATCACCGACTCAATGGACATGTGTTTGAGTAGGCTCCAGGAGTTGGTGATGGACAGGGAGGCCTGGCGTGCTGCAGTTCATGGGGTCGGAAAGAGTTGGACATGACTGAGCAACTGAACTGAACTAGACTGAACTATCTGCCTGAAATCCATTTCCCAT